ACATTTCTACTCGACTCAGTTGGGTGTCGGAATTAAGGGTGGCGCTGAGGCCGCTGTTCATGCGGTTCGTAGAATGGTCACCGACCTCCTCGATCAATGTGGGTTTCTGAAACTGGACTTTAAAAATGCCTTCAACGCCTTGAGAAGAGACTCGATGTTGGAGGCTGTCAAACTTTTTTGCCCCGATATCTATAATTTTTGCCATTCTGCCTATGGCGGAGTCTCTTTTCTTGGCTACCACTCTTGAGTTGTAGAATCGTCCGAGGGGGTACAGCAGGGTGATCCCCTTGGTCCTTTGCTGTTCGCACTAACTTTTCATCCACTCTTAGAGAAAGCTTCGTCCACTTTCGTTTGCGCTTATCTGGATGATATCAGCATTGCTTCGGACGGCCCAACTCTGGCCGATAGCTACGAATACCTGAAGCATAACTACGCTGCAATTGGTTTAGAGTTAAACATTAAGAAATGCGAACTTCACTGCCAAAGTTTATTTCAGGTGCCACATGCGCTGGCTGGAATACCCAGAGTTGGTGCATCAGAACTGAGTTTTTTAGGCACACCTTTGGTCGAGGGCGATTACCAAATAAAGTTTATAGACCTAAAGCTTTCTGAGCTCAAATTCGCCCTAGGTCGTGTTTCCTGTCTTTTGGCCCATGATGCTTTGACTATTATCCGCAATGCCCTCAGTTTGCCCATATTGATGTACTTCCTGCGTACATACAAACACATTGACTCTTCTAAATTGGGCAAATTTGACAGAGCCCTGCGCACCGCCCTGTCGTCGATTTGCAATGTTCAAGTGACCGACAGTGGTTGGTCCCAGGCTCAGCTGCTGGTGTGATTTGGTGGGCTGGGGTTGCTTAGCGTGGTTCAGCTGGCTCCCGTTGTTTATAATTCTTCTGCCGCTGCCACTCTCGACCTACAGTCTTCCCTGCTCCACCGGTTTTTTCGTTGCCGCGATATTCTTCCCCCAGCGTCCGCCCCGGGGGACCGTACGCACGTCCAGATTTTGAACGATGAATATAAAAAAATCTTTCAAAATTTGTTGTCTTCATGCGGCGACGACTTTTCCACCGCTCGTTTGTTGGCCATGTCCAGCGTTGCCAGCTGTGGGTGGTTTAGATCGTGGCCTAACACCTCTGTGGGCACCAGGCTTGACGACGAGTCTGTAAGATTTGCCATTGGCTTCAGACTTGGCCTGGTCATTCAAAATAAATACACGTGCCGATGTGGCGCTGAGGCGGACGAGTTTGGGCACCACGGTTTGGTTTGTCGCCTGGGTGGGGGCCGTCAACTACGTCACTCAGCGCTAAACGATTACATTTGTCGGCTCTTCTCCAAGGCTTCAATCCCGGTTCTCAAGGAACCATCTGGCATTTCTGCGCATGATTGTAGGCGACCGGACGGATGCACGCTAATACCTTGGAGAGCCGGCAGATGTTTGGCGTGGGATGTTACGGTCCCTGGCACCCTCGCCAAACGATACGTAAACCTGACAAGTAAAGAATGCGGTTTGGCCGCGGCCAGGGCAGCGGACGAGAAAATGAAAAAATATGGGAATGCCCTCCCCTCGATGGAATTCTTGCCAATATGCATCGAGGTTCTCGGCCCGATGGACCACAACACCCTTAAATTTCTCAAGGAAATAGGCAAAAGTATCAGTGTCAGATCAGGTGACAGCAGGGAACTGTTTTTTGCAACCAACCACATTTCGTGCTTGTTGCAGCGGTTCCTGCGTGTCTGTGTGCTTGAAAATATCCAACTGAATGCCGACATGTGCAATTAACGACAAATCAAAGTGTTAATCCATTTGTTATTTGATGTTTGACGGTTCAGTGTCACTCATCATGTTTTGGTTTTAACATACATACATACATACATACATACATACATACATACATAAAATCTAGCTGCTAGCTGTTGGTCAATTGTTTTTTGCTGTTGATTTTTGGCGTTTTTTCGAGTCGTTTTTCAGTATTTTCGGTTGACTTTTGGACGGACTATTCACTTTAGTTTCAGAGAATTCTATTTTTTTGGTTAATATCGATATTATAGAGGTTTTTGTTAATTTTTTAAGTTGAATTAATTTTCATTTTTTGGTATATTCGTTTTAAGCTGCGTTGTACAATATTCAGGTTGTTGGTAATTGGACAATTGCTAGCATGCCGAATGCTAATGATAGAGTGTGCACTTGTTGTAAAAATGAAATTAAAAGAACTGAAAAAGAATTACAATGCAGTTCATGCAAATTTTATGTGCACACAAAGTGTGTAAACATATCTGATTCTTATTTACCTGTGTTTAAAATAAAACATGTGAAATTTCATTGCGATGGCTGTCTGGAAATTTTCGAAAATTTTGACAATGCTTTAGTAAATGTTGATAGACATTTTGTAAAATCTGCAGTTGAAATTGCTGCTATTCGTGAATCAAACAAACAGCTCATTTCTGAAGTAAATGAAATGAAACAATTGTTGAATAATTTTGGAAAAGTTAGTGTGGCCGTCGGTCCTGAGTTTGCAAAAGAAATGGATATAATGAAAAGATCAGGCGACAGATCAGCTGACAGCAGGGAACTGTTTTTCGCAACTAACCACATTTCGGGCTTGTTGCAGCGGTTCCTGCGTGTCTGTGTGCTTGAAAATATCCAACTGAATGCCGACATGTGCAATTAACGACAAATCAAAGTGTTAATCCATTTGTTATTTGATGTTTGACGGTTCAGTGTCACTCATCATGTTTTGGTTTTAACATACATACATACATACTTACATACATACATACATACATACATACATACATACATACATGTATGTTGGTCTCGCACAGACTGGTTAGTTTTTGAATTCTTAAAATAAAGTTTAAAATTAGGTATTTATTTATTACACTATCACTTGGTTTTAACCTAACTTTGATTTTACAATTTTGTATCTTGTTTTTCGTTATTCTTTTAATAGTATTGGTCTTATATTAAGCGTTTCTCACTTTTAATTCACTTATATTCATTTTACAATTGTACTGCAAAATTTTTTTTTTTCTCATTTCACCTGCATACCTTAAGTTAAACGACGTTTATTTTTTTTGCGTTTATATTTTACACTAAATCCCAACATAAATTCATTTTAATAAATTATCTAAGAAATTCATTCATTCATTCAGTCATTCAGTCATTCATTTTTTCAAATATAATCTAAACTATGTGACAGCATATTTGTATACCAACTTAATTTATTCGTACAACAGCAAATTTCGTAATTTCAAGCTCTTACTCCGGTACACTGTTATACAGTTGCACACTTGCACGCGGTTTCCACTAATTTCTACGGAAAAAAAACTAAACATAAACAAAACAAAACAAAAAAACTAACTAAGTATTTACTTCTCTTAGTATAAGCCGGTATATACATAAGTGCAGGTGCATTTATGCATTTGCATATATGTACGTATTCTCATCTAGTCGCTCATCAATAATATTCAATCAATACCAAAAACTAGCCATAATCACCAATTTAGTTAATTCATCATAATTCATCATTTCATTTAATCGTTCATCAATAGCAATCAATTACAACCAAATACTAGTGCATGTATGTATGTATGTATATATATGTGTATATATATATATATATATAGGCATTCATTCGCATTTAATCGTTCATCAATAATAATCAATTACTGCCAAATACTAGTGCATATATATATACACACTATTTTAGGCCCAGACTCACATACCTCCCACCTTCACAAACCTTTGAACGGCTCCCAGGGCGGGCAGCGCACGTATTTTTTTGTCTTCTTTTTTTGTGTGCTTCAGCACCGTTCACCCTCAAGTGGGTTTGTGTTACTTCCTCTCGGCCAGCGCTTATTGAAGCCATCCTTTGTTGTCCCATCGTTGCACTTCACTTCAGTCAAAGTTGTCGTTGGTAGTAGTTTTTTTTGTATTCTCCATTGGTTTTATTGTATTCCTATGGCTTCTAGCCAGAGCTCCTCTTCTGGTTCCAGCACTCTCACTCGTTGTCACGTATGTTCCAAACATTTTCGTTTGCGTCCCGATGGCGCATTGGTTAGGCATGGAGGAAAGGTTAAAGGTTCAGAATGTTCCGGTTCCCTGGCGAAGCCCAAGAACGGGTCAAAATGCGCGTCATTGGGAAACGTTTCCGGTTGCGCCCCCGCCGCCAATGCGGTCGGCAACGTCTTGATCAGCAGTGCTGCACCGCAACAGGTTTCTAAAATCGACATGGCAGAGAGGTTTTTCAGAAAATCTGCTAGTTTTTGTTTAATGGATCACATCCCCAAACATTCAAGAACAAAATTTGGTCAGACGCTGGCTAAAGTGGTAAAGGAAATTATTGATAAACCCTCTATTTCAATCAGTTGGTTCAAATTGCTCTTTTTGCCAGCAATGATCTTGAGGAAAAGTCACCGCGGCGGCAGACGTCATAATCCAACTGGACTAATCAATCAGAGGATTGACGATTTTGGCGGACAATCCGTCGAGAAGATGGCTGACTGCTTAGAATTCGTTAATAAATTGGAGAATAAGAAATCAGCCGAATCTAAGTTGATATCTTCGGTAAAGTCTAAGATCGAAAAAGGAAACATAAAAAATGCGATGCAGCTTCTGTCATCAACGGACACCGTGGCACCTGATACTGAAGAGACTATACGTGCTCTAAAGTCTAAACATCCCACCGCACCCAACAACAAACAGCAAAGTCCCTCCAAGGAAAGTTCAACCCTGTGCGTTACATCTCAACAAGTACTGGTTTGTTTAAAAACTTTCCCAAAGGGAACATCAGGTGGCAGTGACGGCCTTACGCCGGAGCATCTGAAAGACCTCACATCTTCAAAAACAGATTCGATTGATCTCATCAACTCAATCACTGCATTTATCAACATGATCTTAAATGGTGATTGCCCGCCTGATGTGGCCCCATACTTTTTTGGCGGAAGGCTGGTGGCCCTATCGAAAAAATGCGGCGGGATCAGACCCATAGCAGTCGGGTGTGTGTGGAGGCGCT